GATGACCTTTAGAGGTCCCTTCCAACCCAAACTACTCTATGATCCTATGATTCTATATAGTAGACGTTCTTATAGCCTTCTTCCTAGAAGTCACTTATCTGACGTGGTGCTTTCTCCTAGCAAGAAGACTGTTTGTAAACATGTTGAAATTACTATTTTTTCTGATGATGATATTGTATTCATTTCTCCTCATCCCTCAACCAGACAGAATCTTCCAAGGCCACATGTGGGAGAAGAAAGACATTGCATGAAGCAATATGATTGGCATGTGGCTGTTCATTAGTGACCACAAACCTGCTGATTTCTGTTCAGAGGATGTCCTGCTTGAGACTGTCCTGTAATGGTGGAAATATATAGAACAGTGATGGACTGAGCAAAATGTTTTTTCTACACACACAATCTGCAATGAAGTCTAGACTAGAAACCCTCCCATGTGAAGACAAATAGGAATGCTGCCAGGATTTCGTTACAGGACAAAAAGGTTTTTTTTATGTGGGTGACTTCTGGGTATCAGGTGGAGAGGATTCTCCATGTTTTGTCCACCTGTTCTTGCTGGGCATACTCCTCAAAAGTATGATCTCAGAGTAAGCTTTAGAGTTTATCCCTTCTCAGGGAGTTTTTTTTGTAAAGGTTTCCCAAAGGAATGCATCACTGCCTCACCAGTGTTCCCACAATGGTTGAGCTTGATACAAATCCAGTGTTTCCTTCAGCTCCACCACCAGTGGCTGAGGACAAACTTTTGAAAATGCGAGAGTCTGTGCTTATGCACACTGAACTTTAGAAAATAGATGGTCTTGGCTATGTTGCATGTCTCTGTATTGCAGAGACATCTGGAAAGATAGAAGGGCTTCTATACCTCTGTATGCAGGGTTGTACTGTGTTATTTGTTTCCTGTGACCCACTACCACTCACCAAGTCAATCTTGTATTTATATCTGATGAGAAACAGGAAGGGGAGATGGCTGTGATAGGCTGAGAACTAGAAAGACACTGACATGGATATGAGCACATAATACAGATGCTAAATAGTAGTAGGAGGCTAAACAGCACAGGTGCACTAACAAGGGAGAGTGCAGAGTTGTAGTCATCGTGTGATTTAGGGGTGAGGTAGTCACAAGAAGCAAACACCACTCAATGACATAGAATCTAAAATACATTTATTAAGTGGGCTGGGTATAGTGGGTGTATAGCAATTTCTACTCTAAGATTTCGGGCATGTGCACACACACACACACTGTACAGCGAACCCATCAGTCAAGCCCCCCAGTGCAGCTGTGGCCAGCACCCTGGACTCAGATGAACAGGATGCTCTCTCCAACTGGATGAGGTGCCTAAGTCCAGGCTGGTCACCTGGATTTTAATCTGGACCTCAGGCTCAGTCTTCTACAGTATTGGACATTCATTAATGTATTTGTCTGGAGGAGCTCTTGTCTCAAATATTTCTCTAACTTAGATGGTTGGCATAAGTCAACATTGGTCTTCCTAGTCATGCCACACCAGGCTGATCCCTTTGACTTTCTCCATATCTGAAGCCAATTAGCATTTGTTACCTGGGTGACCATCACCTTCTAGCGTCCCACTGTGTATGTAACAAGGATGTAAAGTTTAGTGGATGTAGTCCGGAACTCTCAGGTAGGCCTCCCCGATAACAGTGATCTGTGCTTTGTTTCTCAGCCCATCCTGGAATCGCCTAATGAGTGAGAACAGGACAGATGTAGTCAAAGTCTCATTCTATCTGAGTGGCATTTTCAGGCAGGCTTTACTCTGTGATACTTTCTGTCATGGCCCAAGTGTACTTTTAGGCATTAATGTCCCCAACCACCCTCATCAGGGACATCCACCCTCTGCCCATGGGTCCAGGATCTCCATTTAAGCTTAGACCTCGGCCTTCAAATCTTCCCTGATCTATGTTGTAGGTGTACCTGTAACCATCCCTGTCTCTGATCCTTCCTCCTGAATGGACCTTGTACCTATGTTGTAGGTAGCTTATCTTCTGGATAGACCCCTCATATGCAAATTGTAGCTTGTCTCCAGCCACATCATTGGTCCTGTATCTTGGATAGACTCTGAACCATGAGTCCATGTGCCAGCAATGTGCCCTTGTGGCAAAGAAAGCTAATGGTATCCTGGGCTGCATTAGGAGGAACGTTACCAGCAGGTCAAGGGAGGTGATCTTCCCCCTCTACTCAGCTCTGGTGAGGCCAAGCTTGGAGTCCTGTGTCCAGTTCTGGGCTCCCCAGTACAGGAGAGACATGGACATACGGGAGAGAGTCCAGGAAAGGGCCACAAAGGTGATTAAGGGACTGGAGCATCTCTCATAGGAGGAGAGGCTGAGAGAGCTGGGACTGTTCAGCCTGGAGAAGAGAAGGCTTGCAGGGATCTCCTCAATGTGCACAAATACTTGAAGGGAGGATACAAAGAGGACGGAGACAGGCTTTTTTCAGTGGTGCCCAGTGACAGGCCCAGAGGCAATGGGCGCAAACTGAAACACAGGAGGTTCCCCCTGAACACAAGGAAGCACTTTTTTGCTATGAGGGTGACTAAGGACTGGAGCAGGTTATCCGGAAAGCTTGTGGAGTCTCCATCCTTGGAGATAGTTAAAGCTGCCTGGGTCCTGGGCAACTGGCTTTGGGTGGCTCTGCTTAAGCAGGTTGGGTTGACAAGAGGATCTCCAGACGTCTCTTCCAACGTCAACTATTCCGTAATTCTGTGAACCCACATTGTAGCCTTCTTTCCAGCCCTGTCTCTGGGCTACAGTCCAGTCCAGTCCAGTCTTCTTTTGCTCCTGACTGGACTTCCTAAATGTATCCTGGACCTGGTTCACTGCTTGCCTTGCTTGGGACTGTTGATGGACCCTGCACCCTATTCTGCTTGCTGTGTTCAGTTGCTGTGGGACTGTGCTCTGGTTAGTGAATGTACTACTTGAGCTATGGTCACCTTTGGTTCCTGGTTTGCCCTCCCCACTGGCCCTTGCTGCTTCTTGTCATGTTTCTCGGCTGTATATACATAACCAATAATGTCTAGACATATTCATACAGTATCACCTCATAGCAGTCTCCAGGTGAAAGAAATAGAAGCCAAACCTATAGAATGATGAGGGGCTTCAGCAGGGAATGGAGTCCCTTAGGAAGACTTAGCAGGCATGCTGGAGAAGTGACTCAGTATGAGCTTCAAGCATGATCTGTAGCAGGAATGATTTGTGCAAGTCTTGTATGCAAAATCAAGCAATACAGTGTAAAACAAGGGAGGTTGTTTTACAGTGCAAGAGCACAGTAATCTAGCTGAGAAGAGCATAACATGAACTAAGGTCTGGGAGCTGAAATCAAGTATCTCGTGACTGCAATAAGGCAGAATTACTCAAGAGTGGAGGTGCTCAACTATTGCAAAAAGTTACCAAGAAAGGAGGTGGTTTCTTCACTTCTTGACGTCTTCCCATCATTACTGCATGCTTGAGCTGCACACAAGCTTTATTTATTTATTATCTCAATGCAAAGTAAAATTAATTATATGAAATTTTTGGTGTGCAATATGCAAGATATCAAGATGATAATTTAATGGTCCCTTCTGGCCTTTTGACAGATACATGAGCTCATAAAAATGGTAGCTTTGAAATTAGTTTCCAAACTGGTTTTGTTATAGGCCTTGGCTTGTTGATGCCAGCTGCTGGCAGCCTGAGGTCTGCTCACGGTTTATCTTTTCCAAGAAAAGGGGGCATTTATCCACTTTATTCTTTTGCAAGACTCCATTGGTTGGAGAGAATAAAGGAGAGATGCACTTTCATACCATGTGTAGTTATTCTGTAATCTGGAGTGGTTGGGTCATCTTCAACACTGCAAAGACTGACCTAAATTATGTACAGGTCATTCTAAGCAATTAACATAGAGTATAGTCAAAGATTGGCAGCTCTCTACACATGTTCATCCTTCTTCTCAGGAGTGTTTCTGATATGTCTTAGGGACTGGAGCAATTTCTTTTGGGCCAGATCCACCAGTCTGGACAACCTTATTGTCACTATAAAGATATCACAAGATGGGAATGGACAAGACTCTTCACCTTTGGAAATGTGAATACTTCTTCTTCCACTGCTTTTTGAACTCAGTTTGGCAATAGCTCTGGTCTGTTGCTTTCAGTCTTCTTCCCAGGGTTACATTTTGATAGTAGTCAAACTTTCCTTTTCACAGCCTTCCTATATCTCTCACATGATACGATCATCCCACATCCTTATCCAGCGCTGGATGCAGTAGAACAGTCTGTTTATCCTCTAGCAATATAAAAACACCGGCATTGCCCCAATCACATATCAGGGTGGGTGTGGGCAAAGGTACAGGAGTATATTCTGAAGAGCGTTACAAGTGTTAAACAGGAGTACACAATAGATGGAATGCTGTTCACACAGGTCCTGCCAGTGTTTCTTTTTGTGTAGGAGGTAAAAAATACATTTGTTATTTTTCTTTTATTCCCACTCTGAAATAAATCCTCTTTTGTCCAAATAAGTATCTAAACTTCATTTATTTTCATTTGCCTTTATTTTAACTTCTGTACTATAAGCAAAAGAGCAACTCAGTCTTCATGGCCTATTTACTACTTGGCTTCTGTCATGAGAAAGGCAGCGATGAGGCCCTTCTGTAACAGCAGTGGGGATTACATTTGATACTAAATGAATGGGGGAGCTGTGCTGGTGTGTAGATGCTTCCATACTTCCCAGCTGCCAACATGCATGATATTGCAGGCAATACCAAAAAGCACTAAAGATTTCTAGTTTTTTCCTTCCTCTGCCCCCAGTAAATTTATGACTGTAAAACTACAGGATCACCCCTTCTGCCCTCCACCCCCATTTTTCTTTTCTTCATTTAGTCTAAGATTGGACCCACCTTCACAGATTCTGAACTGCTGTGGCACAAAAACTATTGACAAGGTTGGGATGAAACATAGGAAGCCTATTTTTCCTAATGCTGACAAAATGTACCACTGTCCATCTAAATAGTGCTGTGCAGTAGGCATGGGTTGGTTGATGTCCTATATCCTCTAAGATGGCTAGAAATGAATGGTAAGTTCTAACCATTTTATTTGGGGTTACCGAATCCAGTAGCCTAACAGTGGCGAGGCTGCTGGAGCTCCCTTTCCCTAGGTCCACCCACTAGCAAGGCTGAGTGTGTATTCCCAATAGGCATACAAACACATACACAATGCAAATATACGTACACACACAGCCAGCCACGCAAATCAATACAGACAGAAACACTCATGCAAACACAGATGGCACTAACAGACCTGGACGTATGAGCCCCTGAGGCCTGCAGCCCCACGCCACTTCCTGGTACAGACCCCCTCACTCACAGATACAAACCCTCATGCACTCCTTCACGCACATGTGCATGCGCATGCGTGTGCACGCACACACACGTGGGATCCCAGTAACTGGCCTTAGACACTCAGTCTACCCAGCAACGGGCCCTGAACTCCCCGGTCCTCCAGTTACCTCATGCACCCACATGCACGCTGGGACCCACACTTATACACTATGGATCTCCCAGAAACTAGACTTAGACATGCAGTCTGCTTGTTGGCTGGCCTTGGATGCTCACTCTCCCAGTCGCTGGTACTGGAGTGTGCAAGCTTCTGAAGTCTACAGCCCCACTCCAGTTGTTGGTACACAGTGTAAGTACTGGATGAGCCTTCTACTGTTCTCATAACGGATAAGCTATTACTATAAGGATTGTCAGTGAATGTTCTTTAATGTGAGTTCCTTATGATACCACACATCACTGGAAGTTGTGTTGTAGGACATTATTGCTATGAAAGACCAAATTAAAAACCAACAACTCATGCTTCTTGAATGGAAAAGAAGCTAAAATTTTATTCCTAATTCAAGTATCTGGGTTCTCAGCCTCTGAGCATTAAGAAGGTGTTAGTTTTAAAGATATGATACTATATGATACGATACAATATGATACAATACGATACAATATGATATGGAAGTACAGAGAAAACCCAGCAGTGATTCCAACAAAGTGGAAAGAACAGGAGGGGGACAGAGAACCACCAAGAAGTAATACTCAGAGTTCTTAGACAGAAGCATGAATCCTTTGCTATGGAAAGGTAGAAAGTATAATTTGCTGTGTTCCTGCTGATGTGATGAAGAGGACTCTTCATTCATTCTCTGTACAATTTGCCACCAGTCTAATTGAAAATTAAATTGAAAACAGAACAGAATAAACAAATTAAAAAACCAAGCAAAAGAAGCAAATACAATAATCTAGGAAATAATAGAGCATATTTATCAGTGTCCCAACTGTTGTGTCTCCTGAGAGCATTAACAAAAATGACCATGTTGTATCTCCATGCTTTCTCCCCTTTTTGTACCAAGGAAGTGTCTTAACTTGTACAAATTATTTACTTATATACTGAACTTCACAGTTCACAGTTGTGAACACACAACTTTGTGTGTTAGATGACTGATCTAGTGGCCTTCTGTAATGGAGTGACTGCATCAGTGGACAAGGGAAGAGCTACAGATATCATCTACCTGGAATTCTGTAAGGTCTTTGATATGGTCCCCCACAACATTCTTGCTGCTAAATTGGAGAGATATGGGTTTAATGGATGGACTGTTACATGGGTAAGGAATTGGCTGGATGATCATGCCCAAAGAGTTACAGTCAATGGCTCAATGTCCAAGTGGAAACCAGTAATGAGTGGTTTCCCTCAAGGTTCTGTACTGGGACCAGTACCATTTAATACCTTCATCAATGTGTCATTGATAGTGGGATTGAGTGCACCCTCATTAAGTTTGCGGAGGACACCAAGCTGAGTGGTGCAGTTGATATGCTTGAGGGAAGGGATGCCATACAGGGACCTGGACAGGCTTGAGGAGTGGCCTCATGTGAACATCATAAAGTTGCACAAGGCCAAGTGCAAGGTACTGCACCTGGGTTGGGGCAATCACCAGGATCAGTATGGACTGGGGGATGAATGGACTGAGAACAGCCCTTGAGAACCCCAACAGGTCTTGGGGATACTGGTGGATGAGAAATTGTATGTCAGCTGGCCATATGCACTTGCAGCCGAGACAGCCGATTGTATCCTGGGCTGCATCAAGAAAGCGTGGCCAGCAGGTTGAGGGAGGTAATTCTGCCCCCCTACTCTGCTCTCATGAGACCCCACCTGGAGTACTGTGTCCAGCTCTGGAGCTCCCAGTACAAAAGAGACATGGACCTGTTGGAGTGGGTGCAGAGGAGGGCCACAAAAATTATCAGGGGGATGGAACACCTCTCCTATGAAGAAAGGCTGAGAGAGTTGGGGTTGTTCAGCCTGGTGAAGAGAAGCCTCTGGGGAGACCTTCTTGTGGCCTTTCAATATACAAGGGGGCTTATAGAAAGATAGACACTTTTTACCAAGGCCTGTAGTGACAGGACTAGGGGCAATGGTTTTAAACTGATACAGGGTAGCTTTGGATTAGATATAAGGAAGAAATTTTTTGCTGTGAGGGTGTTGAGACACTGGAACAAGTTACCCACAGAAGTTGTGGATGCCCCATCATTGGAAGTGTTCAAAGTCAGGTTGGACGGGCCTTTGAGCAACCTGATCTAGTGAAAGATGTCCCTGCTTATGGCAGGGGTGTTGGACCAGATGATCTTTAAAGGTCCCTTCCGACCCAAACCATTTTGTGATTCTATGATTGTGATCCAGTAAAGTACAAACCTACTCCCTCTAGTATCCTTGAAAAAGGGCACAAAACCATAACTGAGATTGTGTTCATACTACCCTCAACTCTACCAGGTCACTTTTCAAATACATCTCCCAGTCCTACTTTTAAAGGAACAAGTGCTGAGGCTTCCACTACTCTCACTGGGAATATATTTCAGCCATATGAGAAACGTACTGATAAAAAATATTTCCTGGTAGCTAGTTAAACTTCTCCCATTTGTTCAGATTTATCCCACTGTTCTTTGTAAATCTTTGTAAATCTTTGTTCAGATTTATCCCATGTATCTCCTCAAAAAACCTGCTTATTACTTTCACTCCAGGCATGAGTCCCTTTTCAATGCTTACAGAAAAGTATGATATATCTGATATTTCCCTTCTTTACTTTCTGGAGAAGTTGTCCTTAATTCTCGTCTTTTTCCATGTGTTTAAAGAGTATTTTGAGAAGGAATTGCTCTGCTAGATAGCATTGATTTTATTTGAGTTCTGGAAAAACAACAATAGAAAACTCATCACTTGTGATTTTTCAAACTAGCCTGCACAAAGCCTGGCAGAACACATGGAGAACAATCCCACAGCTGAGAATAGACTTAGTCTGTATCCACTGACCCTTGTACTAGTGAGTAAGCTCAACCTTCAAGTGGCACGCTAGCCTACCTTGGCTGTCCACACCAGACTGGTCACCAAAACTGCATACAGGAAGGCTTTGCCACAGAGAATGAGGTAAGTGAGCTTCAGAGAATTTCCATACCGCAAGTAGGACTCTGCAAATCAAACGTCATTTGTGTATTGAGTTATCATCATCACAAGAGACTAGATCTAATGTAGCTTTAATCAAATAAGAACCCTTGAAATCTTTAGCTAAGCGACACAAAGGAACTAGAGCCAAATGAATGGCTCTGTTGACGCAAGATAGTAGGGGATGGGAAAGAACACTGTGATTCAAAGAACCAAAAGAGAAAGTGAGTCTAGGAAAGACAGAGATTGGCTTTATGCTAAGAAAGTATGTCCTGACTGGGAATGTTTAACCATTGTGTTGCCACACCTCCTGAATCCCCTCTTAGGAACTCAAATTAAGCTGAATCACAAGATACGAATTTTTTTCACTTATTATTGTCAGTGGCCTTGTGAGTGCTGCTGATATATCAGGGAAGTTTTACATTGCCCAGAATAACATGGTATCTAGAACTTTTATTCTTATAGATTTTTCACTCTTAAGGAATTGCAGTAGTATTGAGACACCAGCCTGATCTTGGTTCACCCTTAAGATTCCTGAAGCATTAAAGAAGTTGGTGAAAAAAAAGTGTGTAAATATGTATAAAGGAAAGAAACATAATTTTTAATATGAATATTCTTGCAGTTTGGAGGGGAATGTGACTTGTAATGAGAAGTATTCTGAATATGATAACTAAGAAATATTCAGAATTCCGGATTCTGAATCTTGATGTCATAATCACTTGGCTAAGTATGAATTTTTTCTTTCATGGCTGAGCAAGCAGCTTCCCAACAAAAGGCAGTGTTAACGACTGGAGGAGATGATAAAAAGAGCAAATTACACTCTATAGGAAGGTTCCACAATTTCTTCTGTTATTTCAAAAGGGAATCATAAAGAAGAGCTAAAAAACCAAACCACAGCTAAATACAGCATGCACATACAACCCTCCTGAAGTCTTTTTTTCTTTTTTTTTTTAAATCTAACATGCAAACCACTTAGATGAGGAAGTACAAGTTATTCTTGTAGTAGAAATCTCACACACCTTGTACTTAGTGTCAGTAAAACTGGGACTAAAATACATGCAGATATTTGCCTGTGAGAAGACACACATACCTTCTGTGAGTGCACAACCTGAAAGACAAAAATGAACTGAAAGTCATGTTTCTTTTCAATGCAAACAGAACACAAATTTTAGAAGTTTCAGTTTACAATATACTGCCTGATTAATTTTACTATACTATATATTTTACTATACTACAGAGATTTCTCAGTGAAAATCTGAAGAAACCTTTGAAAAAATATAGATGTATAATGATAATGTAGATACGGAAGCCCAGGAATATGAAGAGACATATGCAAATACCTACGTATTTACATATATATTTGTGCTATAACAACACCCTGTATAGAAGTTGTATATAGATATGTTTTGCATCATAACCAACACCCTTTCGATTTGTGGTTTCTACTTTGTACAGCATGGTGATACACATTTTTTTACTTACCAGCGTCACCGTAGATGAATTTCTGTATCAATTCTGGTGTTCCGTTCTTAATAAAGTTGGCAACACACTCAAAACGGTTCAAAGGATTGAACCATTCCTGGGCTGAGATCCTCAGTCGGCTGGTCAATGAGTACATACTCCCATTCCGTGTGGAAAACTCATCTGTCCCCACCCCTTCTGTCCTCGTAGCACCATTCACCTTCCAGACCAGATTCAGGTGGTCAGGGTAGAAACCAGAGGCCAGGCATACCAGCGTGGCCTTGCTCTTCTGTTGGATCTCTTGCTTTGATGGGGAAAAGATGGCCACAGCTGGAGGTATGATTTCATCGTTCTTCCCTGAAACGGAAAGCAATATGGCCCGGAGCCTCCATTACTGTCTTCGATCAGAAACCCCTTAAAATTGTACTGTATTTGTGCTGTGTGGCTCCTGATATATTTGGCATTTTAACAACTGTCTGTTAGACAATTAATATCTATTAGACAGGTAGACACTAGGAAACTGAAAGCATTTGTCTTCACTCATTACACAGAAACATAAAAGGTCTGGCTACAGAAATGCATGTGTGTTTGAATTTCTAGTATTCTCGCTGTCAGAAGACTAGGAAAGCTGAAAAGAAACTGAGAAAACAGGTAGGCAGAAAAGTACCCAGTAGTGCTATAAGGCCTGTATTTATAATATCGTACTAATAGACAAGAGTCTGTGTTATTAAGACACAAGCATCTTCAACTGACTGTGTTACATTCCTGGAGATGGAGTTAGACATGATGGTTATCGCAGTGTTCAGAATTATACTGCCATGTGATACCCTACTTGGACACCCCCATCTAAGAGGTGACTTGAAAGACAGAAGCTAATCTTTCTCACTGTCTGAAGTGAAGAACACTTTAGGTAGGTAACCTGAATCTGTCTGGGACAAGTTTTGCTTTAGGTCTTAACTTGCCATCCTTTTTTAAGACTATGAAATATCTCTTTATATTATTTATTATTTAGGTTATTCTAGGTATAAGAAGCCCTCATCCTAGACTACACATCTTCCCAAAATGATGCAAGACTCTATACACTCACAAACCAAAAGATGTCCCCTGTCCTAAAGTGTTTAGTACCTACATATAAGACTAAAGACAACAGACTTCTACAGTCAAAAGGATGTACAAGGCAACAGTGAGATGTTACTCAGAAGCTAGGCAGTGACCCTAAAAGCCACCTTTTTTTTCCCCCCATATACTTAAAGTGCCTTTTTCACTCATCTAGCATGATAAATCCACCAGGTCTGCAGAGTGCACATGGAAACAGAAATGCAGAGAGAACTATGGAGCCAAAGAGAACACTTTTACTTTTTTTCAGTGTGAAGGCACTATAAATTGTAGATGTTCTTCCTGATCACTCCCTCCTTTCTAGAGTGGAGAGAATTAGCAGAATTAGCAGAAACTTATATCTTGCATAGATCTTGACCCCTAAGCCCTAGTGTTTGCTTTCAACTGTTAGCCTTAATCATGATTGTCAGTGCTTACTCTGCAAGGACCCCTGGGGTGCTTCTGTGAAAACATGTGAGCTTGTACCGACTTCAGAAGAGGTAACTAGATAGTAATGGATATAGCTCCCTAGAAGGTTTGGCACTGCTCTGCTTTCCTTCCAGTGGACATGAGAGGTTAATCACTTTTACTGCTCCCTTCTAGTACTTGTCTTTATGAATTTTTTTCCTATCCTAAAAGTATCTCTGACATAAGTTCATTGGCTCATAGCCTAAATGGCTAATGAGTGAAGACATGGAAACAGATAGGGAGGACACAAAAGAAAAATGAGAGAGGTTTAACAGACAAAACCAAAAAAAGACAAAGAGGAAAGCAGGTGAAAAAGGCAGAAATGAAAGAATGATAAAACTACTGGAAAGACAAAGAAAGCCAGAGGATGAGCATGCTTGAAATGAAATAAGGAGACTGGTACAAGCAAGAGCAGAGACAATCAGTAAAAAGTGTTATCAACAGCCCATTCTGTTCTGATCTTCCACAGTGTTCATGGCAGACACTGGCACAATGCTTAGTCACTTCCATGCATAAACTTATGCATTCCCTGTCACACATTCTTCACCCACCTAAGGGAAAAAGTACGACAGTTCTTCCATTCCCATCATGGCAAGGTCAGTTTCATCATCTCTTGTTATCTTTCACTCCCACTCTCATTTTAAAATCATCTGTGTATATGCTACGTATAATTAATGCAAGGGAAATTTTCAAGTGTCCTCCACATTGAGCACTTGGGTTAATCACAGCTGCTGCCCTATAACTCTGAGCACAGTACCAACTCCAAAGGTAGGTAGTGCAGTTAAAAAGCACAGGTGTACACAATCAGACTATAATCCACAGTGTCATTATGCTTTTCTTGCCAGCCACTTAGTTCCTTAAAATTGTACTGTTTAAAGGAGCAGGCACTAATGTGTATTTCTACAGTTTGTTATCAGATGTGGCAGTAACAGATGGAAAAGGTTATTTTGCCCTGTGATTCCAAAATGCCTTGATATAGGTGATGTTAAATCCTTTCCTGGGAGGGGGGAAGGCAGAGAAAGCAAATGGGGAAAAAGAGAAAGGATAGAGGAGAAAAGTGCACTGAGAGAAAAAGAATATGGACTTAGAAGTCATGAAGAGGACTGTTAGAAGCCAGTGTCCCAAAGCAACTTTAGGCAGCCTGCCCACCATCTAAGGAGAGGGGAGCAAAGTACCAGCAAGACTACTCTTTCCCTGCCTGATTCAGCAGACACAAGAATCCAGACTCTACCTCTGAAACGTTGCTTTTGATTGTTACATAGATGAACTGCAAAAACTTGCAGACCGAAGAAGGATCTTTCATTCCCAACCTCTATAATGTTTTCTTGGAGAATGGGAGGAAACAGAATTATTTCTTCCTTTCTCCCTTCATGAAGTTCCCAGTAAGGGAAGACAGAGCCAACAGACACAAGGATCTCAAAATTCATGCCTGCAAATCCTACACTTCCATATTAGCACATCTCATTTTAATAAACAACCAATAAAGCATTAATCCTGTCCTCATGGCTGTATGAAAAATGATCATTATTCTGCTGTTAATTAAGAATGCTCTTGTCCCCTAAACCAGTATCACATATATCACAGAGATCTGACTTCTGTCTTACCTATGATTGTGAGTTTTGTCCCACTGCCAAAGTACAGTCTTTCGTTATTCACGCTGTTTTGCAGCTGCAGGAAAACCTCTCCTCTATTCTCAATTCTCTGAGCCAAACCTGTAGACTAACCCTCCCCTCATGTGGTACCAGCAAAAGAAGAAAAACAAAGTACATTAATTTATGGTCCCCTAAAAAAAAAAGAAAGGTCTGTAAGGGAACACCACCACATCGTGTGTCTAACCAGGTGAGATCAGTCTCAGAAATACCTCTTCCAGAGCCCTTTTGCTTCAGGCTTAGATGAACTGGTTGTGGCAGCTTTCACCATTTCTTTAGAGGACATTTATCTATTTATCTAGGTGTACTATTAGAAAATATTTCCTATATGCAGACAGAGTAATTTTCTTTGCTTATTTTCAGCTAAACAGCCTCATTTCCTTAATTTCCTCATTTCCTTTCAACATCATGAATATTCTTCTCTTGTAAAATAAATGTCTTTTTTTTTTACTTACAAAATAATTTGTAACATATAACACAGGACCCTCGTCCACTGTCCCTATTGTAGCCGTTGCTAAACATCCCTCCCTTTCTCCTTCCCTGGAAGGAAGTCTCTGCTTTTATTTTCTCTGTTCTCTTAGCTATGATCATTAAAGTTAGCTGCATAATTTACTATGGTCAATGAGGGATCAGTGTATTGATTTTCACCAGCTCAGGCACCTCAGATTCACACTGGATTTAAAAAAATGTGCTGATCACTGAATTTTTCTTACAGAGATTGAATTTTATTGCTTGTAATCATTTTACTCTGCAGTGGAATGTTGTGGTACAAAAGCCTGAGGCATCGATTCTTCTGACTCCAGGAGAAATACAATGAGAAGAAGAGATCACCATCATTTATCAGAGTCTTAGAAGCAGCCTTATTTTCCCCTGGATTTAGAGAGAGTCCAAATCCAGAAGTGTGGCCCAGAGACAAACTCTCCCTGAGAGCTATTTTTATTTGAAATGAACCACATGCTCTCTTTCTGTGGTTTTCAGTGGCCTTTTAGTGTGTATTCTTAAACAGTAAGACCGTTGTCCTAAATGATCTTTTTATCACCAATCTGATGAGCCTCTTTTGTGGAAAGAAACTTGCTGTGCTGTGGAGAGTTATTTTCTAGAGCAACAAGGAATTAAACGGCTGCAGAGAGCTGTTACTATTGCTTATGATAAAGTTGAGTATTTATTTGTGGCTTCTATTTTGTCAACTAAAAATGCTAGTACAGTTATCTGTCTTTCCCAGTTATCTGAGATAACACATGCTTTAGTTTACCCTGAAAAAATCTAAAGTAATTTAAGTTTGTAGAGTCTTGATTTTGTTTTCTAGACCTGTCCAAAGTGTAACTGTAACTCAGTTCTTTCCAGACGGATAGCCTTTCATTGACTTGTCCTTAATCACCTGTAGCCCCAGGAGAACTAGCATTATGGACAATAGTTATACTTTTGGGGAATAGTGATTTCTGCAGATGTCAATTTATTAAGACAATGTATTTACAATATGCACATATTTTTTAACCCATTTGTCATCCTAATTATTTCTATGGACAGCTTTTTATTCACTGAAAATGTATTCATCCAGTTCTCCAAAGTGAAATGCGTGTCCCTACCTAGAGTACTAAACTTAGTCATTTCTCCAAAGTAGACTGGGTTACTAGCACATCAGGAAAACACCAATTTAATAATGAAAGGAAGAATAAGGTTGAAGTGAAGTTTTCTAAAGAGAAGACCTGGGATCTGAAGTGATTTAAAAGATAAAACAAAAATTTCTTACCTATTACTGTAAGTTTTGTGCCATCGCCGAAAATCAAGTTATTGATAGTCACGGTGACAAAGTGTTGTATCATAAGCTAAGAAAAGGGATGCACTGCAGTTGACTTTAGTAAGCAGAAGCTTAAGCAATGTTTACTGTATCTGGAATCCCAAAGATCCCTCAATATCTGTCTGAAAGGCTTTGTCAGAAAACGAGCTTGAAATCCCATTGTATAATCTGTAGCATTTATAAAAGCATTTCCCAGAGTTTTTTGATACTTATTTTTATTGTCTACATTTCATCTCAAGTAGTTTTACAACGTTTCTCTAATCTCCATGTTATCTCATTGATATTACTTGCTATTCTCATTTTGCAGATGTAGAAACCATGCAGACGTACCCAAAGTGGTAGAGGCTGTCATTGTCTAGAAATATAATTCCTCTACAACTAGAGCTTCGTTACTGTCAGTCTTGTACTCTAAGCATTGTGAAGTCTTCCTTTCTGTAACTTGTGGAGTTAATAATCATATAATACTTGCTTTGTGGTTGTCATAGTCACATGCCTTTTCATATAGGTGGTTCGCCTTTGTGGCACTGAACTAAAACAAATCCATTTGTTTTCCCTTCAATGGCAGGCCAGCCGTCTTGAATAGTCTTTCAGGATCCCATTCAATTTTCTGATCGACTAAAAGTAATCCACACAAGGAGAGTCCAGAAGAATCAGTTGGCTGGTCTCAGGCAAACCTTTGACATCCATTAGGAAGAACTGCAGTGAGACACTGTGGAGAAGGATTAGAGAAAACCGTTGTGCTCACAGACATGAGTCAGCCAGTAATCACTGGAGGCTTATTTAAGAGAGAAAACCCCAACACATTTTATATAGTGCCTCTGAGAGATACCTGCTACATGTCAGAATTCTTTTTGTAACACTTTTATCACATTAATAAAGAACCATTTTGTGGTCTGTTGCAAACACTATTGCATGAGAAAAAAATACTAATTCTGTGCTTCGCATACTCTGACAGGTTTTAGGTGCATCTGCAGTCAATCTGGTTTGCTGAAAATTATTTCAATGTCTCAGAATCTCCTGGCTTATTTTCCAGAGAGGCCAGGCTCGGTTCTTAGATGATGAAAGTAAGTCCTAGCATACTAGGTCAGTCAAGAAAAAACAAGACAGAACATACCCGCTGTGCTGCAGAATGCTCTGTAGCTGTCTTAACACACTCTCCCACAAGGCTTATGCACATACGGGTTTTTGTAAAGGCCTGGTGGGAAATGTATCATTGTGAGTCACCTGTCCCCACAATGATACAACCTTGTACAAAAACAATCCCACCCATGGCTCTGCCCTCCCATTTTTGTCACCCGGTCACCATGAAAGATGGGAACAACAGGCCACATCCTTCCTCTGCCATTGCTGTTTCTGTGTGATAGTCTGATTACCTCTTAGTGTATCCATTAACCCTGAATTTATAATCCCAACTTTTTTTCCTATAGACAAAGAAGTAATTTTTTTTTCTTTTTTTAGCTGGTTTTAAATGCAGTTATTTTTCATTTGGTAACTTCATGACAGTGTTCATGTTGCTTTCCTTCCCACTCTTTTTTTCTTCTGCCCCAGGATGATAAACAGACCTCAAGCCCACAGTAACTGGTTTGCATTGAGAGCAATTTGCTTACTACAGAGTGGTGTTTCTGTTTGTAGCTTGTCCTGACTGTGAATATCCTCTTTGGTCTGTGCTGCACTTGTCACAGGTGCTCTGAAAGGGAGGGAAGTAGGTTGCTGAGCTCTTAAGCTTCTATGACTCTGACTGCCCTGTTACAGGAAGCAGAAGTACAGGTTTCTCCCAGATGCCTCTGACCCTGATTATGAAAAGGCTTCATCTAGGAGTAAGAGCATGCCTTCATTTTGGAGACTGTCTGAAGGGGGTAGGGACTGGTGGTGACAGGTAACAGGATACTTTTATCTCCCTCTCTTACACATAACTAAATGGAGACACAAAATTGTATTTTTTTCCCCCACAGGTTTGTCCAGGTATGATGTAACTCCCAAGAGGGAAAGATCTGTGCCAGTGAGACTGTGTACCAGGACACACTGAGGCAATACAAGGAAAGACAGGCATGTGAACAAACCGGTTTAGGTTTGGGGCATATGCAGCCCATCCTGCCCTAGTCTTCTCACATAAAAGGTCAACACATATTCAGCAACATGACCAAGTACCTGCAGTAAACATGTTGTTCATATTGCTCTTTAATGGTTTCACTTCAGTCTATCTTGATACAAAAAATAGACTGTAAGTACAGGAAACAATCCTTCAAAACAAGATAGTTCTACTAGGAAAATCACAAATTATTTTCTTCTGTTTTCAGGTATCACAGAAGAACCCATAATTTCTGACACAGCCTGTTCAGCTGGGAACAGCTGTTAGTGTCCCAGGGAAGGGAATGAGAAACATAGACTAAACTGAAACATTTAGGACCAAGACATAGAACTACAGAAGGCAAGATATTGGACAGGTGAGCTCAGGTGCCCCTACAGTATCCTCTCTTCTACGACAGAAAAACTGTGTGTTTAAGTCACTAATTATGGGAATGACTGCAGACAGTTGTCTTTGTTTAGATTGAATTATTTTTAAAAATACATTTAGGATTTTATTTGTCTGGCTCTGCCTAAATAATAACACTAATAGTGGGATATTATTTGCCTGCCTTGGTCTTAGTCTGCCTCTGATCTCAGCACTGTTTATTCAGGGTCTAAAACCATTCCACTAAAATTCATTTGAGATTATTCTGTCTCCTTCTCCAGTCTATAGCTCCATTAGTGTCCTTACTGTCACTAACAGACTCTCTCCCCTATGGTGTTTTTCATTTAAAAACAAACAAATCACCTCTGTATTAATTTTGAAGGAGTGTTTCTATGTGGTGCTAACATCTCCTTAGGGCATGTTCGTAAGGCAATTTCCAAGACATGCCAGCAGAGACCAGTCTTGTCCCACTTTAATGTTCATCTGTAACCTGTCAAAAGGAAAGGCCTTGCAGGCCATTAATTCAGATGAGCGAGAGGGAGAGAAGAGAGGAAAGACAGTTCCTTGATTTTTATTTCTATGTCTCTCATAGGAGGCTTCAAGCTGTGTAAAACTTCACACAACAAGGAAAGGCGAGAGTATGCAAGCAAGAGACAGTTAGGGACATATTTTCTAACAATGGTATCATTTTAGTGGGGGAATTTCATAGGAAAATAATGATCATATCACTTATATCAGTCCTGGATTATTCTTTAGAGTTTACAGAAGAAGCAACTACAAAGAAGCCGGCAGAACTACAGAGATGCACTGAGCTTTACAGATTTGTTTTAGGGACACTAGGAAGTAGCAAGAGACAGTTAGGGACATATTTTCTAACAATGGTATCATTTTAGTGGGGGAATTTCATAGGAAAATAATGATCATATCACTTATATCAGTCCTGGATTATTCTTTAGAGTTTACAGAAGAAGCAACTACAAAGAAGCCGGCAGAACTACAGAGATGCACTGAGCTTTACAGATTTGTTTTAGGGACACTAGGAAGTTCTTTTCAGAAACATTCAGTACTTTTGACCACCAACCCCTAAAATTAAGCAACACCTTTTCAGGAGGGCATATTGGTGTACTGAAAGATAAGATAGTGGAAGGAGAGGATGTGTAAAATCACATCTTGTGGTGGGTTGACTTTGGCTGGCTGCCAGGTGCCCACCAAGCCCCTCTATCACTCCCCG